TCTAGCACTGAAGTTTCCATAAAAGTCCCTGAGATTTTTTGGGTCTTTTGCCATGTTATGTTTTGTTAGAGTTGTAGTTGAAGCATAAGCTTATGGCAGTACAGTGCGACTAAAATTACAAAGACTCATATCATCTTACTTTCACTCAATTTGTTTTTCTAATAGTCATCGTACCAATGCATTTAGTCAAACAATCAAGGAGAGTACATCTCCTTAAGCGTCGCGAGTGACGTATAATGGAATTATCGGCTTAAGTCACCCAACACTCTACCAATGAAAGAAATAGGCTTATAACCTTCTATTCAGTATTACCATTTCTAGTTAATCTTTCTAGGACACTGCCGGACAAGAGCGTTACCGTACTATCACTACTGCGTACTACAGAGGTGCAATGGGATTTATCTTAATGTATGATATCACTAACGAAGAGTCATTCAACAGTGTTCAGGATTGGTGGGTAACTTCTTAGGCTTAACTTCCTAACTGTCCCTTACTCAATTCCCTCTGTATGCTCATATTTTGCCTCCTCGCATTTCTATGTTTAGGTGCACACAAATCAAGACATACTCCTGGGAGAATGCCCAAGTAGTTCTGGTCGGCAACAAGTGTGATATGGATGGAGAGCGGGTGGTATCCATAGAGAGGGGAAGACAACTGGCGGACCAGCTAGGTAATGTGGGAAGCAACCGCATCATATGCGAATGTGCGCTAAACGTGCTGCGTGTACAGGTCTTGAGTTCTTCGAAACGTCTGCCAAGGAGAATATCAACGTGAAAGCAGTTTTCGAAAAACTTGTCGAAATTATCTGCGACAAAATGGCTGAAAGCTTGGATAAGGTAACCATCTTTGAAACTTATCTTTCGCAAACGCAAGAATTAGTGCATTAAAACAAGCAGTACATATTCAAACGAAATTTCTCGACGTAATGCAGGAATGCGAATTGGAAATTCACTGTTACATTCACAAAGTCACAATTTTACTCATCACTGAAACCTTTTCAACCACTTATAGCAACCTTCCCTGACATGCTTAATTATAAGTTGGAAAAAAGGAAAATGAAGTGCA